ATATATATATATATATATATATATATACATACATACAATATATATTTATTTTATTTTTTGTTTCAATGCAAACTTGAGAAGATTAAAAAATTATGATTTAAATGTCAAATAATTAAATAATTTATATTGATTATTTAAAGTACAACAACATAAAAACGTTTAAACATTTATTTTTTCACTTATTTTTTTGCTCATAATAAAACAAAATTAACATTTATATAAAGAAATTTAATTTAGAAAATTACAAGAAAAAAATACAGTAATGTGAATTTAATGTTTAATTCCCATTAAATAATGTGTCTGTGTGTGTATATATACAGTGTATATATATATATGTATATGTATATGTATATGACCTTGCTATTTGACCTTATAAATGTAAAGGTGATATACTTTCCCACACCCTTTTTCCACCTTTGCTTCTATATATAATTAAAAAAAAAACTTTCTATTTATTCTATTCTATCTACTTGTTTTTCTTTGTGTGTGTATGTGTCTAATATATATATATATATATATTATAAATACCTTGCTATGTGTACTGTGTTAGGCTAACCGAGACTTGTCATTTGCACTTATATATTGTTGCTCTTTTGTTAGTTTTGACTGCTTCTATTGTCCTCATTTGTAAGTCGCTTTGGATAAAAGTGTCTGCTAAATGACTAAATTAAATTAACCCTAGTTAAATTAAATTAAGTACGTACGTGTGTGTGTGTGTGTGTCTGTGTGTGTGTGTGTGTGTGTATTTATATATAATGACCTCCTCTGACTGTATAGATGCTAAAATAAATGAATCTGTTATACAATTTTTATGACCTATATATAATGACCTTGCTAAAGATGATATACTTTCCCACTCTTTTTTCCACCTTTGCTTTCTTATATTCTTACAAGCACATGTTTTTTTTCTTCTTTTTTCTACCTGTGAGATCTGGACGTATTATTTTGTGATATTCACCCCAGCATGGAGACATTTAGTAGTTTTAAGGACCAAACAGTTTTGTTTTGCCTGCTTATCATATTCCTTGTCTTGTTGTATCAGGTCAGAGGTCATCTGCAGAGATGTATGTGCTTTCTAGCGCCTCACCTTACTCTGTCGCCTTAGTTTCGCTTGTGTAGGTGGAGTCCCGGTACAAAGTGTTGAAAGGCATATATCACAAACGCAAGCGCTTGCGGTGTGGGCACGGACATGTAGGGGCCTGAACTCTTGTCTGAGAGGGCCGCTCCTTTGGTTTGATTGCTATCAGAATACCACAGATTATGCAACAACACACACACACCCCTAGTATGTGATGCCCATTGTCTTCGTGAAACTCTTTTGTGGTTGTGGTACTGGAGGGGGTGCACTACATTGATCCATATTCAGTCATTCATTCATTTAGTTTTAAAAATGAAAATGTATTCACCCTCATATATTTCCAAACCATCACTTTCTTTCTTCTGTAGAACACAAAAGAAGATATTTTGTAAATTGAGCTAGTTGCTGTTTTCCATTTCCAGTTGCAATGAATGAAGACTAAAGGCCCATTCACACCAAAGACGATAAACTATAACAATATAGTTTTAAAAATCATTCTGAATGTAAAAGAATAGCAGAGTCCACACCACAACTATTCTGATAATGGTACAGAGGAACGATAGTCATTCCTTGGAATCACTTTCACAGCATTTGTTTTATTTTTTTTATGAAATGATGCACAATAAAAACATTGAGAGCCAATCAGAATCAATCCTGCTTTAAAGAGCTCAAGCATTTAAAGTGGGAGATGACAAAACTGCAGTGCACTTAACAAAAACAGAAATTACTCATGCTTTGGCGTGGACACTGATATAGTTATCTTTATATTAATAGTCCTTGGTGTGAACAGGACTAAAAGCTTTCAAGCTTCAAAAAAGTACCATAAAGACGCTATAAAATAGTCCATAATTCTATTTTCTACCATGTACATAGTTTTCTAAGTTTTCCAAAGCCATACATTTGTAAAAATGTTTTACAAGAAAATACAATTTATGTTTATCTAATTCAATTTCATGTTTAAGTCAATAGCCACTTTTCCACTGTCGGGCCAGTGCTTTAAACGGGCGGGACGGGGCTAATAGCCTCGGACTTGTAGCACCGAGCCCAAAATCACGCTGCGTTTCCACCGTCGGGCCAGATGCTCCGCTGCGCTTCACTAAAACCCACCCTTTACACACCTCTCTGGAACAACGTCATGCGAACCCATCATTTCACCAACAAAGAGAAGTTATCAGAAAACTAATAAGAAATAAGTCACTGGAACTAGCGCGATCACAAAACGAACATGATAAAAGCGGCCGTTTGATTGCATGCTTTGTTAAAGATTTAAATCCAAAAGCATCGAAGTTTTACAATAATAAGTGATACATTGATCATAATGAATTAATTTTTCAGGATTGAAAATTAGTCACACAGAAATAAAGCGGTATGAACATAGCCTTCCTACTTATTCAGTCGAGTCCGTTTCTGTTTATTTGTACACTCTTAAAAATAAAGGTGCTTCACGATGCCATAGAAGAACCTTTTTGTCTAAATGGTTCCATAAAGAACCTTCAACATCTGAAGAACCTTTCTGTTTCACAAAAGGTTCTTTGTGGCGAAATAAGGTTCTTCAGATTATAAAAAGGTAAGAAAGAGATGGTTCTTTAAAGAACCTTTGACTGAATGGTTCTTTGTGGAACCAAAAATGGTTCTTCTATGGCATCGCTGTGAAGAACCATTTGAAGCACCGTTATTTTTAAGAGTGTAGGCACAGTTATATACATCACATTTAGAAAGAATGATCATTTCTATATTTTTATAAAAGCTCCCGAACAAAAACCATTAGGCTATTATATTTTTGACATACGCGGAGCTAAACTCTGGAGACAAGACTTATGACAGATAAAATATTTTACTAAGTAAATACACGATTGTGATAGAGAATAAAAAGCTGACGTCTGATTTCTTCAAGTGGTTGTATTTACCATATTTAACGTTAATGGCTAGCGTGCATAGCCTTTTGCATCACTTATAAATATTTCTGCCTCGTAAGGTGATCATAATCCACATTGGATCAAGTTATTTCAAACACTCGCTGCTGTCTGAAAGAGAATTTTGAACTAAAATTATTTTAAAAGTCTTTAATGCTGGTGTTATAGCTGTTAACTTTATGAATTGATCCGCGGTGCCGACGCTTTCCAGACGCGGAGAAACTCCACCTTTCTGGCCCGCTTTGGCCCAAGGTTTTCGTAGGGCCAAAAAACCCGGGCTGTTGGCCCCGAGAAAGCACCGACGAAGCACCATCAAGCCCCGGAAGTGACAGTGGAATCGCGACTGGCCCCGGCACGCACTAGCACGCCCGCTTTTGGCCCGACAGTGGAAACGCGGCTATTGAGTTACTTTTTTTGAGTTACTGTAGCAATTTTTGAGTGAAAATAGTTTCTACCCCATTTTTTTTCAGTGTATTGTGACTTAATGAGTTCTTAACCACTGCGATCACATAAATGAGTTCAGGTAAAGAACTGGATCAGTCTGATTCACAAAGATGTCATACAGACCGTTTTTGCAAACCAAACCACTAATTTTACGTTGTCTTCATAAGCTTTTTGAAGAGCCAAAGTTTTAGTTACATGGACATTAAATGGAGGAATTTAAATCTCTCAGGTTTCATTAAAAATATATTCCGTATAAGTTTAATTTGTGTTTTCAAAATGAACATCAAGGTGAGTAAATGACAGAATTAAAATGTGGAGGTGAACTATCCCTTTAATGGCTAAAATGTCCAAGAATATTCTTTACTAGTAAAATCTATGTCTCGAGCGGCTCATTGGTTTATTAACATCGTCGCCATGCATTTTGGTGTAGAAATTCACACTTTGTGCCAAAAAGACTTGCATGTAGTCATAGCCCCACAATGCATTGTCTGTTCTCCTTCTTCTGCCCCCCGTATTCCTCAGTCAGAATGTGGGGGGTTTGGTGCTAATGTGTTGGCTTGTAACCTGCGCTAACTCTAAATGCCATTCACATGTTCGGAGGAGGCGTGCTGCTAGCATGTTCACATGACAGCCGTCTGGAGCAGCTGGGCCAATGCTACTCCATTAGCACCTCCTGTAATGGACCCTTTATCTCATCTTGTTGGGAGTCTCTCTTTCCATTTCTTGCCAGTTACCCATGATTCCACACCTCCTCCTCATTCTTTTCATCTCTTCAATTGTTTCTTTTTTTTCTTCATTCTTTCTGCGTCCTGATATAAAAGTGATATACTTTTCCACAATCTTTTCTTTCCACCTTTGCTTTCTTTAATTCTTTTATATCATACAGCCAAAAAAATTTTTTTTAATTAAATTACCAATTTCACCAGTTTCCCCAATTCTCCATTTCCTTAATTGCTGTAATAAGTGCAGTGTGAGGTACCTCAAGGGAGTCCCTCAGTTCCCTAATTTTCCACCTAATTGATTATAATGAACAGCTCCCCCATCAGCGGTGCAAACACACGCTCGTGTGAGCATGAGTCAGATGCAGTAGTGCGGTAATTGCAGTTGTTAACACCCCCAGTGGGTGTGAATGGATCAACACTGTGAAAGACCCTGTGAATGATCTCTTCTGCCTCTCAGGAAATGTTACTGTTGTACAGAAACATGAATGGATACTCGCAGATGAGCGTAATAAAATAGTTCCGGTTGTTTATCTCTGATTTAAATATGATATGAGCATCTTATGCATTAATAATATGAACCGATGAAACTGTCAAGAGTAAAAATGGTTCATGTTCTCTACTAAGCGGCATCGGCTTACATTGAAGAAGGGATGTGAGCATATCTTAGAACCACAATATCATGGAGACTTGTTGAAGATGGGCTTTTTTACACCTTAGCAACTATATATTAAATATTTGTACACTTTTGAACGGGATTTATATAATTCCAAAGGTTGAAGTATGTTTTTGAATGTTTCTTATTCTCTTTTTTGAAATCAAATATGTGAAACTCTGTACTGTCACTTTTGAGAAACTGAATGTGTTGCAAAATTTCTTTAAAAATGGGAGGACAATTTAGAAAAAAGACATGTTCATGTTGAAAATATGGTAATATTGCACTGTTAATTTAAATTTGTATTTGTTTTAGGTTGGAAGAACAGACAAAGAAGCTGCATAAAGACATGAAGAAAAGCACAGAGGCTGATTTAG